GGTTCTTTCGGTAAAGTCACGTAGAAGGGAAGTAATAAAATAATAAAAATATAACGTAATAAAATAAATGAAACCATTTAGACGCTGTCTTTCCGACAGACCTGTTCTTCACCTGAGGACGGCTGCTTGCGTTGTGGCCGAAACGTCGTGAGAATTATTGTATTATGTTTTATTTTTATTATTTTATTATTTCCCTTCTACGTGACTTTACCGAAAGAACCAAGAAGATCAATCCCGGCAGTCACGAAAGCTTTAAATCTAGAAGTGGGCTTAGAGTGTGGAAATTTACAGCAGACAAATGCTCTAAACGCGTGTTTATAAAAACGTGGAGGGAAAACTCACAGGACCCGGAGAAAAATCCACACGATCACGGGGAGAGAGAGAGAGAGAGACGCGCAAACTATAAAAAATACAGCAGGCGTCAGGGTCAGGATCGAAACCACGACCTCCTGTAGACCAGGCGAGGTAGTTAACATCTCCTCGCCACCGTGGCGCCTCCGTTGTATATACAAGCGTCGTCTTTATGATCTAAGATCGCATAGAACGGACCATTACAAACACACACAAAGCTAAAGATCCCCCCGTGTAACCTTATAAACTGTTGGGGCAAGTACTGTTAGCGAGCACCTATTAAGGGCCGAACTGCGCGCGAATGGGGTTTTGTTTGTCGCCTTTGTCTTCCTCAGTGTGCTGCGTTGACCCACCGCACACCAAGTACACATTTAAGGCTGAGTAGACCTAGAGGAGGCCTAGCGCAGGCTCAAGATTTAATCTTGCCACTGATGTGAGCCACGGCCTAAATATGAAATCGTGGTTTTCAAAATCTGTTGTTGTTGTTGTCGTCGGTATAGACCAGGGGTCGGAAACCGAAATAACAACAAGAGCCATTTTTTGTTCTTTGAATTCGGTCAAAATTGAAAACGCATACGTTGATATATTTCAAGAGTCGCAAATGCTGCAATGTGAATGCGAGACGCTGGCACTTAACAGACAACGGTCACGGAGCCGCTCGCGGCTGACTCCCTGTGACTATTAGACGACCACTCGACTACAATTTGTGGTAAATTGCCAGAACGCTCTCTCTCTCTCGCTCTCTCTTCACGAAAACGTGCATCAGGAGTCATCGCCGTTGACTTTACGCACGCGTTTGGCAATACACGTCAAAGCTGTCAGCCTCAAATGGTATATAAAGTATGGGTTTTGGGTCAGGTTTGATTGATTGCTGCAGATGGATAGGCTGGTGTTAGTATAATTACCAATTGATACGCGGAACATGGCCCCAGAGCTTAGAACGTCACGCTACGAATGATTACAGCCACCACCACCACCACACATCGGCCCCACGTCGACAGGCACATATATTTAGACGCGCTACTTTTAGAATGCAATGTTTTGCTATCGGCTGTGAGTTTGCATATTGTATATAGAGAAACCGAGGGCAGTGCTTAAGCTACACACCACACGCATCTTCTTGGTTCTTTCGGTAAAGTCGCGTGACTTTACCGAAAGAACCAAGAAGATGAATCCCTGCAGTCACGAAAGCTTTACATCGAAATACCGCACGTATGTATACACGCAACATACGAATGGGAGCGGTGGCGCAGCGGTTAGCGCATTACGGCTGACATCAATGCGGCTTGAGGAGGGCCTTCATCTGGCAGCAGTGGATTGACAAAGAGCTGAAACGTTACTGGAACGTTTATAAAACGTACGGTAATTACACACGTACGTAAATAGTTAACTACTACCTCACATAAATATATATGTATATAGGCCTGCTGTGTGTATGTGTGTATATACATACGCACAACATAACTGGCTGCAATATTATAACACGTTTTATATTCCTTAAACTTAACCATATTATTTTATTTCGATTTAAAGCTTCCGTGACTGCAGGGATTCATCTTCTTGGTTCTTTCGGTAAAGTCACACCTGAGGACGGCTGCTTGCGTTGTGGCCGAAACGTCGTGAGAATTATTTTATTATGTTTTATTTTTATTATTTTATTACTTCCCTTCTACGTGACTTTATCCAAAGGAAACCAAGAAGACATTATTTTACATGACCTTTTACAAATCCGTTGTTGGATGAAGGCCTCCTCACGCGACCTCGGCCATGGGGGGGGGGGTTGTTTGACCATACTTCACCGCGCTGGTCAATGCGGAATTCGTGAGGTCTTTGGCGGGGGCAGGAGGAGGGGGGAGTTCAGACACCTCCCGACCAGTTCAGACGCAGCTCGCCACTGATGGTAGCCGGGAATGGAACTCATGCGGCCGTGAGCATGCTGCAGTTGCGCTAACCACGGCGCCACTCTGTGATATGTGTCCTACAAGAATAAAAATAATGATAAAAATCGTGCTGGCATTAGGACCCACACTCCATTCGCATACACGCACAAAGACAAAGATCCCCCGTATAGCCTTAGCAGACTGTTGGGGCAAGTGCTGTTAGCGAGTTGCACCTATGAAGGCCGGACACAGACAAAGCGGTTGGTGGGGGAGGGGGGGGGGCTGATCAGCACCACGCCCGGCCGCCTTTGTCTCCCCACTTAGCGTACCACGTACTCATTTGAGATTGAGTCGACCTCGGGAGAGTTCCAGGACCGGTTCAGAATAATCGACACTGACGTTGTACGTGAGTGGGAATCGAACTCGGGGGGCCGGGTTTCGTCAAGCTAACCGCTGCACCACCGCTCCCCCACTCACACACACACACGAGTGTATATATATACACACACAGCGTAAACAGAGTTCACGCGCTAACAGAGAAATAGCTACCACTGTCGCTTAATGCACAATGGATCCTTGTTCAGCGCACGCGTAAAGCACAGCTACAGTACAGCTCTTCACGCTGGCACGTGGAGCGAAACGTCAGACATCGTATCGAACAGCGGGCGTTGCAACCCGCAAATACATTGGTGGGGGGTGGGGCTATATCCTACAGCACAACATAGTGGTACAACAGCAATCTGTTCTCTATATATTGTAGGTGAAATGATGTTGACTTTCGATATAATTTACTGGTGTGTTCATTGAATGACAGTTTTTGTTGTTGTATTCCAATGTTGGTAAATATCGATGGGATTTTGTATATGCCAATGTACGTGCCCCTTACACAGCGAATGTGCGAGATCATTGTTTATGTATGGACGGTAATCTACTTTTAAATGTAGTAAATTCATTATGGAATTGGTTAATAGTGATGGGCAATAGATATATATACGCACATACATAAACAGACACATCTTAGCACGTAAATAAGCTGGCGCAAATACACACACACACAAATACACACATATACAAGCACGCACGCACGCACATATATATATACATACACACACAGGCACAAACATACACAAACACGCGTACACACAACTCACATACTCACAACACGCAAATCATATACAAGGGTCGGTGCCGTCATCACAGCGATTGTGCCAGGTTAGGTGCACAGACACGCTCATACACACAAGATTAAGAGCCCCCGGATAGCCTCTAACAGACTGTTGGGGCAAGTACTGTTAGCGAGTAGCACTTACAAAGGCCCAATTAGTACAATATACACGCGTACTCATAAACACACACATACGTCCGTGCTTTATTATATATACTGTATTTTTGCTACGTTTCAAATACTTCTAGCTGTTAATACAATTGTTGTGTGGTAACGTTTTAAATCGTATCAATGGTTTACAGCTCTTTATATATATATATGATCATTATGGCTGTACCACGGGGTTTTAAATAATACAAAATTGCCGAGGCAATTAAATACTTTATTTCTGGGACACTAGTTTTCCCCAGGGGTGTACTTAACTCCGCGACTGGGGTACCAATCAATCCGACATCAGTGCCACACTCCGCGATGTCGAAACGCAGCGAGGACGATTGCGCCGAACCCCTGAACGCTCGCACGTGGCACCGTGGTGGTGGTGCATCGTGAGTACAGCTCCTCGAGATGAGTCGATTGCCGCATCGCCGACCATCAACAGACTAAACGTGACTGCATCACGGGCATTATGCGAGAGCCGGGGTACTATGGTAGCCCGGGGTACCGCCATGAGGTTAATGTACACAAACACGCATTGGATATTGCGAGCCTCTACCTGTGTTATGGTAATGTCGCGTTACGATAACGATGACAACAATGCCATTCGTTTTAGCCAACCGTACCTCATTGAGTTCATTCTCAAGCCCCTTCTGCAGTAAGGTCCATGCGATGCGATGTTTGGGAAATTGTTTTTTTTTTAATAAGGCGCTTATGATAAGCCACTTCGTTGAGCTATTAATATTTGTGGCCAGGGCGCATCCAAAGAAGATCTATACTGTATAGCTCAGTGAGCCTTACCTGGCAAAATAATGATAAAAAATGTGTTTAGTTTAGTTCGCTTGAGTGTGTAGAGAACTGAGAGAGAGGTGGAGAAACTTGATGTCGCATACGAGGAGATACCAATCACAAGTTCGCACAGCCGGGTTCGCGAGCCCGCTTGCTCGACTCGGAACTCGTGGCCACCTCGCAGCACGGCTGGACGGGTGGGTGGGTTTGGGAGTTCCATAGATCTCCACGTGATCCACCAACTTTTACCTCCAAAACGCAGGATCGCAACGATGGCGATGATCATAATGAGGATGGTGATGAAGATGATAATGACGATGACTGGAGTGATGACGATGGCTATGATGATGATGAGAACTCACGATGATGAATCCAGCGGATGACGTGTGTGTGTGTCGAACTTCTTTCGCACCGTACGTGTCCAACCATGCTCATCGGAGGTGTGGGAGAAGGACCATCGACATGATGGTCCACGTCGAGGGTAACATTGATAACCATGGCCAATATGATGATGATGGTGATGATGATCACGACGACGACGACGATGATGATGATGACGACTATCACGACGACGTACCCAGAGTGCGCATTCCATCAACGAGCATCTGCGCGCGCGTCTCATCATCGTCGCTCTGACATCCCCCCTCCTCCCCATCTCGCAGGTCAAGATCTGGTTCCAAAACCGGCGCTCCAAGTTCAAGCGCCTCGTCAAGAGCGGCGAACTCGGCTCGGAGCACAGCCCCGGAGCCAGCGACTCCATGACCTGCGACTCGCCTCCCTCGCCGGCCCCCTGGCCCGACGCGATCCCGCACGGAGCCCCCGCTCCACCGGGACACCCAACCGGGGGTCTCCAGGCCCCGTCGACGACGCTCCTCGGCCTGCGCACCCCGTCGCCGACGCGCGCGCACCACGACGCGCCGCTGATGCAAGTCCACGTGGCGCCGTCGTCGACTCCGACGACATCTTCCACGTCGTCGTTGTCGTCATCGTCGTCGTCATCGTCGTCAGTCGTCGTCGTCCTCTTCGTCGACGTACCAGCCGTGGTACCGGCCGCCCCACGACTCGAGCTTTGCTCCTCCGTACCTTCGACTGTCGTCGTCGCGGCCATGCAGCCCCTGTGCGGTGGAGCCGCAGTCAGCGCCGGGGTCATTTATTGATCCGACACTGATCGACGTCGATGTCGATGATGATGATGGATCAATACCGATCGATGTTGAGCCATTCTAATCTTCATCGGTATCACTGTCAAGTGCCCTGTTCAGTACTACTACCGCATCACTATCATCAATTTAAACAGCCACGATTACTCCGCTGCTGGATGAAGATATCGCCATCAATCACGGTCCATTGCTGCGACGGTGCAAGCAACAATGCGTGCATCTCCCGCGGCAGCACCTGCAACGCGGGTCGATATTCGTCACTCCGTCTCCTGCGACACCGCGCGTGCTAGTGGACGTTGACTGCCTGCCAAAACAGACGATGCTCCAAGAAGAGGAAACGTAGAGAGATCGCCCTCGTTACAAACAAATCTTGAGGCCACAATTTTTTTGCGATGCATGGGCCGAAAATGCACGTCTCTTACGAATTAAAAAAAAGGTCCTAATATGTCGTAAACACAGCGACTTCGTTGGCGATTTCACCCATGGTTGTGGTTACTGTGCACAGTAAACACTAGCAAACAAAAAACGGACGAGAAAAAAACACGATATCGTCAACAACGAGTAATCGTCTTCCTATACATTCAAGTTGGTGTGTGTGTGTGTGTGAATGTGCGTGAGTGCACCTAGCCTGGCACAACTGCTGTGGTGATGTCAGTATCACGGCAGCAGCTGTTGTTGAGTGCCTTATCAATGAATATATATCCTGTATATATATACACACAGAGGCCAGTAATTAAATATATTGTACATAAAATTTGCGACGGTTATAAGGAAGGGTTAATGACTATAAGATTATATCCAAGGGTATATATAAAAACTACGATCTCGTATACACCATTTGCGTGTGTGTGTGTAATCGCGTAGTGTAACCTATGTTGATTGATTAATGTTCTCGAAGGCTCTAGAGAGTGTGCAGGAGACAATGGCTCACACGTCTGTGGCGTGCGTGAGTGTGTATCGAACTGTTGATGTTGTTGGTGGTGCATGTTTGGAATGAAGTTATTTTTTCATAGCCGGTAGGGAGAATCAAAGATGCAAATATTTATAAGCCATTTGTTTATCTTCGTTGTGTAACTGTTTTTTTTTCCACTCGTAAAAGCTTGCTGTGTGCCTACAATCAATGCCGTGATTTCATAGACACCACTTTTAACCAAGTTAAATAAATCAAAACCAACCTCTGGATCTCAAAGTCATTCTCTTTTTTTGTGAGTCCATCGCCCCAGCGAGCGATCTTCATCGTGAACACTAAACCCAGCACGTTTTTTTTGTTTCAAACGGACAAACTCTGGACTGGTTTCGCCCTTCTTGAGACTCATCAGCAAGCGTCAGACGTGCTAAACAAATACTTTCGGATTACCGAATCGTTATTGGGACTCTGCTGATGAGACCCAGAAGGGCAAAGCCAGTGCGCGTTATCAACAAATACCGCTGGTTGGCGGGTGAAGTTACGTCTCAGAAAGGCCAATAGGCGGATGGACTGAATCAACGATTATATGTTCTGCGGCGGAGTTACGCAAAGTATCCTTGTGTACATGTATTTATTTTTCTATCCATAATGCTCCACTCACAGCTTGCTGAGTACAGTTAGCCGGTCGTCAGCTAATCGCGCTGCAAGGAGGTAGAAGAGGGCGGTGGGGTGGGGGGTGACTTTCTCCTCCCTCTTTCTCTCTCCTGAGATCCCCTCGAGTGGAGGGAGCTTCTGTCAGCAGTGGCGTGACCGGCGGTTGCAGGGCCTGCGCCTTTAACCCCTTTGCGTGCGCGCTCGGCGCAGAGTGTGACAACTCTTAACGCTAGAGTTCGGTTCATCCTCGCGCCTGTCGATTTATAGAGAGAGAAAGCGGGGGGTGTGGGGGGAAAACACAAATTTGGTTAACCAGAATTTGGTTAATGGGGGGTGTGGGGGGTAGGGGCAAACGACTCGGCTATTTTTTTTCCAACCCACCCCCCGTAAAAAGGAGAGCTTTACGCAAGTGCAATCGAATTCCGCAAGGATTGCGTAAAAACTTCCAAAAGGAGTTGCGCACGAATTCACCCACCGCAATTAGATGACACGCAGCAAAGCACGAGGAATATGCCATCGAATTCCTCTGCTGTTACATCGATTCCAAGACGTCTTGGACAAGAAGGACCACTCACAGTTGGAGGTGGGCGGGGCGGGAGGAGAGACTTGGGGGACTCCCACGTGGCGTTCTGCCCCGGGACCTCCAGCAACCTCTGGGTGGCCTTGCTGATCAGCGCAGGAAGAAGGGAGAATAGGCCAAAGTGCGTTCTCGAGAGAGGCCTCTCATGGGAAACCCATCCACTAGCAGCAGTGGGAGCTAGCAATTGCAGGGCTGCACCTTCGCCTTACTGGGGTGGTTTTATTATTATGATTCATATAGTGCGGCCACACGCGTGATTGTTTTACCAGAATCAGAAATGTGAAGTGGGGAAAAATTGGGTCAAATACGGTAACTTACAACTGTCTCCAGCACGATTGCCAAGCCAGCGGTATCCATTTATCCCCCGTATTCTGCGGATTAAATGACGCCCTTTCCCGTTGCCCTGTATGTAAACGCAAATGTTTTGGGGTGCGTATTAAAATCCGGAGAATACGGTATATACCAGTATGCGTGTGTGGTGGCGGTGGGAGGGCCTGTATGTGTATGTATGTGTCTGTGTAAATGTATGTGGTGTTGGCCACCTACCCCCTCGTGTGCCGTGCCGTCCTTCGTATAGGTGCTCGCTAAGAGCCCTCGCCCCAATAGTCCGTCAAGGCTATACGCATGTGGGTATCTGTGCCGCAGTGGTTAGCGCACTGTGCTGCAAACCCAGCGAGTCCTGCTCATGGTCAACACCAGCGATGAATATTGGAACTGGTCCTGGGGCCTCCCCGAGGTTGACTAAGCCTGAAATGGGTACTGCTGGTCACCCACAGCCTCGTGTGCCACGCCGTACTTCATAGGTGCTCGCTAGCAGCACTTGCCCCAGCAGTCTGTGAAGGCTATACGGGGGTCTTTGTCTTGATGTATGTGGGTGTGTGTTCATCGCGGGTGAGTGTGTAGCTTAGTTGTTAGCGCACTGTGCTACGTACCCTGCGACACTGGTTCAATTCCAGTCTACGACTGACCTCGGTGGCAAAATTGACATCTGAACCCGATTCCCTGAGTCTACCCGAGTTCGACTCAGCCTGGTGCGGTGTGTAAACGTCAGCATTGGGAGGGAGACAAATACGGCAGGGCGAGGCTCTGACCGTACCACCACCTCGTGTGCCTATGATACATGTACCTCCTCTTAATAGGTGCTCGCTAACAGCACTTTCCGCAACAGTCCGTAGGAGCTTTGTCTTCAGTGTGCGCGAGCGTGGCCGCATTTTGTGCATCATGTACGGCATGTGTGAGTGTGTGTACTGGGAACGCGTTGCGGGGAGCGGTAGTGTAGTGGTTAGCGCGTTGCGCTACAAACCCGGCGACCCGAGTTCGATTCCCGCTCACGGTTGACTCAGCTTCACATGAGTATCTGGTGCGGTGTATTGAATCGAATCATCGCCACTGGGGAAACAAAGGCGGTCGGGCGTGGTGCTGGTCACCCACCCCTTCGTGTGCCGTGTCGGCCTTCATAGGTGCTCGCTAACATCACTTGCCCCAAAAGTCTCTGCGAAGGATCTTTTGTCTTTGGGAGCGTGTTGTGTTGTACGCGTGTGTGTGATGTGGTGTGTGTGACCAAGCAGAGTTGTGAGTGACTCTCACGTGGAAAGCACAAATGCCCTTCTAACCGAGGAGTGAAAGACCTCGCCAGTGGTGGTGGTGGTGGGAGGAGGGGGTCACACGGAGGGTAGCACAAAAAATACGCACGAAAAACGACCACAATACCGCTGTTGTGAACTCCCCTTTTTTTCTGATTACAACTAATGGCTGTGTCAAGAACGAGTCCAGCGTTCTATTTGAACCGTCCCTGGTGTGTTTAAATCTATACACAGTTATACATCGTGCGCAATGTGTTGTGGCCCCCTTACCTTGTGGGCTCTCACCCCATTCCCCTGCCCCTTCCCCTAACAAAGAATGACGTTTTGCACGGCAGCCCAGCGCCCGCGTGCGCAACGTTCCAGATCATTCTCTCCAATACACCTGGCATTTCGATTTAAAAACTTTCGTGACTGCAGGGATTCATCTTCTTGGTTCTTTCGGTAAAGTCATCACGTAGAAGGAAAATAATAAAAGAATAAAAATAAAACATTATAAAATAATTCTCACGACGTTTCGGCCACAACCCAAGCAGCCGTCTTCTCGACAGACCTCTTCTCCACCTGAAGACGGCTGCTTGCGTTGTGGCCGAAACGTCGTGAGAATTATTTTATTATTATGTTTTTTTTTTTCCTTCTACGTGACTTTACCGAAAGAACCAAGTAGATGAACACCTGGCATCGTGATCCATTCTGCTGGACCTCGACGCGCCCTGCCATCCACCAGAACTGCTTTTTGTTATTCTTAGGTGTTTTCGGTAAAGTCACGTAGGTAAAACATCAAAATTAATAGAAATAATAAAATAAAAATAAAGATCACGACGTTTCGGAGGCAACACAAGTCTCCGTCATCAGGTGGGACAGTCACAGCCAGATCAGCTGCATCAAGTGAGGCAATGATTCAAGATGTAATCCCTTAAAAGCGAGTTGAGGGGGGGAGGAGAGGGGGGGGAGGGGCTCATCAGAATGTGGTAGCCAATGAATGGAAAGTATCGGGAGAGGGTGGGCCGTCGCCCACCTTTTGTTGGCCCTTCTCTCCCGATACTTTCCATTCATTGGCTACCACATTCTGATGAGCCCCTCCCCCCCCTCTCCTCCCCCCCTCAACTCGCTTTTAAGGGATTACATCTTGAATCATTGCCTCACTTGATGCAGCTGATCTGGCTGTGACTGTCCCACCTGATGACGGAGACTTGTGTTGCCTCCGAAACGTCGTGATCTTTATTTTTATTTTATTATTTCTATTAATTTTGATGTTTTACCTACGTGACTTTACCGAAAACACCTAAGAATATGATTCCTTGCAGTCACGAAAGCTTCAAGTCTAGAACTGCTTTTTGTTGTTGTCTGTGTTTAGTTTGTTGTCTCTGCCCCGCCCAGTCGCACCTCCGATTAGCACGGTTGTGCTACGCACGGTGCTAAAGCAGTTCAACATAAATGCATACACCAGCACCGACCAGAAAGCCACACACAATGAGCCGGATGATTTAACCCTGTAATGTACTGTGCTGTAAAATACACTGAAGTGCTCGCGCCGTATATTGATTTTGTTTTACGCATTCATTCTTAAATCGGGGGATTTGTTTTTTTTATTTGCCGTCAGCCGTAACGAGAACTATATTTATTTATACGTGTGTGTGCTTATGTTAGAGGCGTTTTTAATTCAGATTTGTCCTGAGATCCACAATTTAAAGAAGAAAATCTCCCAGCGATCATCCACGTCCTGGGTCTCGGCAAAAGGTAAAATCACAACTCATGGGGGGGTCTCGACGTTTCTCGTTGAATTGTGCCCGTCCCAAGCTTCGTCATCATACTCCAAGCTCAATCCACGTTTGGATTAAAGGAGCTTGCCCCCCCCCCCACCCATTCCCCACTACCACCTCCCCACCGCCACCTCCGACGATGTAATGATAATTCACCTAAGTGCCTCGACATGAGATGATTTTGTCGGTTGACGTCCTCTCTCGCAGACGCGTGCCAATTCCGTTCTTTTTTAAATCCTTTATTTTAAGTTCACTTGCTTGCTTGCTTGCGCGCTTACGACCGTGCAAATCTTTCGGTCGTTTTTTAACCCACTTCCCGTGATCCAATCGAGCTGACATTTTGCACACAGACTCGTTGTGCGTGACAATGTATTTTCGTGAAAAAAAATTCCAAAATGTTCCACTTTTTAGGAATTTTTTTTTTCATATTTTATTTTAAATACCAATGTGATAAAAATGAAACTCTTACTCAAGAAAAACAGAAATGAATAATAAAATAAAACCGATGCCACGCATATAAAGGATTTATAGTGAAAAACTTTGTTTTTACGGGTTAATTTTTTTCACCCCTTGGCCATCGCCTGCCTGTCACCCCTTCTGGCCATGATGGCGTGTCCCTGTCCTGTCTCTTGAGTTCCAATACCGACGAAGCTTGCGTCTCTCCACGTGCCCCTGTGCCCTCCCACGCTTAGCCGA